GGGGGGGTAATGTTAAGACCTACTGGGTGCCAGCACAAAGGTAAGACTGCTCACATTGATAAATGTACTTCTTCTGAGAAGAATGTGTGGCATATAATTATTTTACTCTGGTGTGTTGCCTTTGCCTTCTCTTGTTCCTTTTTCTTCTCCTTCTCCTTTGTTCTTTACTATAACCACAAGCTCGATCTTCAAAGTCACTTCATTATGTCTAGTGGGGCTTACCATCGGGCAAAAACAAAGCAAGCATCATTTCTAAAAGGAGATATTATACTTGACTAATGGCTCCAAAACCTTACTGCAATCAGGAGAGAGGACTTTTTCTACCTCACATCCACCAATCGCTCACCCCATCACCATGAATCAATCTGACTGCTGACCGTGTTCAACGGTTCGACTGCGTTATTGTTGTAACCACAGCAACATCCGCGCCTGAGGCCGAAGAACATGGCGTACTCTCGGCGAAAGTCTTTGTTCATGAGCGCCAGCACCACACAGTTCACGCCCGAGTTGAGCACTGCCAGGAGGCTAGCGGCCGTGAGTGCTTGATGACTCACATGCACTGTGTACTCCAGGAAACCCAGCACCACAAGTGGACACCAGTTGAGGAAAAACAAGCCGAAGACCAACATGAGAACCCGGATAATCTTCCAGGACTTGTTTGTCACGGCTTGTTCTCCCGCTGGTTTGCCATTGACGGTTGAGTGCTGGAGTTCGATTCTCTTGCGCTGTCCATAGGCTATTTTGGCGATGTGTGTGTAGATGGCTAAGACCAGGGCACTTATGCTGAAGAACAGAATCGGGTGGACGACTATCATGTAGATGTCGTTGAATATGTGGGTGGGTTCACAACCGATACCAACACTGTAATGACTCGTGTATATAGGTATCGTTCCGTATACAACGGCCACGATCCAAGTAAGCAGTATCGCTTTGGCAGACCTCGACTTAGTGATGAGTGTGGAGTAAGTGAGAGACCTGAGGATGTAGATGTAACGATCACACGCTACCAGGAGCAAGCTGAACAGAGAGGCGCTCACAGACACGAACAGGGCACTTATAACACTCAGGCACAGGTATTCGCTGCGTTCTAGAATACGCTCGGCAAAAGGCATAGTGCAAATACTCTGAACGAAAAGTAGTAGTCCCACCATGCAGTCTGCCAGGGCCAAGGAGCCGATGTACATGTTGGGGATAGTGCGCAGACGGCGACTCCTGCCGATGGCTCTTAGGGTTGCCAAGTTGCCCACGCAGACAAACAGAGCAATGGCTAGACTGAAAAGAAAGGGCGGCGCATTATTTATGTTACTGAGTAAAACACAACAGAAAAGAGACAGGTCAAACAAACAAAAAAGAAGAAGAAAAAAGAGAAAGGTTCTAATTAATATAACAACCTCTAAATTGGTTTTCTTTTAGGGAGGGAGCATATCAGTGGTGAGTGGGCAACCAACTGAAAGGCTAACCTCTGGTAGGGGGGGGGGGGGGGTCTGAGAAATGAATTTGCACTTGAGAATAAAACCACGGGAACTACTAGACAGATATCATTGAGAGAGCATCACAGGATAATTTATCACTTTCACTGGGAAACGAACTAGTTGACACGTAGAAATGTTATTGTTAGGAACAGAAAACGTAGTAGACATGTTATCACTGACTGTTGAATTAACATTTGGTCGTGTTGACACGTACACACAGCACACACATATGAGAGCACACAGACACACACACACACACACACACACACACACACA